TGAGTTGTTTGAGTAGTTCATGGGAAATTAAACTTAAGCTTAACATTCATATAAATATCATGTTGAACTGCACAAAAAATAAATATATATATTTGAAATATTATACATATTAAAATGTACATGTATGTGTCCTTTGAGGTAAAGCTGAAATACATCGAGTTGTTCTGAAAATAGACATTAGCATGATAAAATGTTTGGAGAACCGGTACACCTACATCTTTTTTATACCGGTACTCAGAAAAATTCCACCATCTGTGTGGTTTTTTAGAGAAGTGAATGTGGGTTGTGAAAATTAAAAAGCTAGCAAATTTTAAAATTCTGATTTAAATTTAACTAGCAGGCCCATAAAATCAGCCAGGTGACATGCTAATGCAAAGTAACAACACTTGTGTCTTGGTGTGTAAATAAATATCTGTGGATAATATTGTTCCCCTATTCCATTTCCAAATGTTCATATTTCTACTCCATCATAAATTATATATTAAGCATTAAATGGCTGATGAATCATATTAGATTTTAACCATTTTTATTTTTTAAAAATCAAGAGTAATTCAGAAGTGGGTCATTTTTAAACAACTTCAAAATACTTGTTTTAAATTTTAAAATCCCACCTTTAACATATTTTATTAAATAAGTAAGATTATTTCTTACATAATTGAGTTATTTTTCATGATGTACAAAATTAAATGTACTAAAGATATAAATTTAATAATAATATAGGTTTTGGTTTAAATAAATGTACTATGAAGTCAATTTAAGTTTTTCAAGCTTTTTTTAAAGTTATTTATTTTGATTAATAACCTGTGATGCATAATACATGTCATAAATTTAAATTTAAGATGATCAGATAACTCGCTTGCCTCACTAATAGCAGCCTTGTTGCTCTGTGTCGTTAAAAATTATGTCTTAATGTTTGAATGTTTTAACTTAGTTATTTTGAGCAATGCACCTCAGCTGGCCTATATTTTTCATTAAATCGCCCATCTATTTGAAAAAAAATAAATATATAAAAAAATGTCAAAATATATTTGTTATGCTGTATCCCTTATGTTCAAACCTATCATAGATTTCTTTTAAAAGAAACCTGCAGCTAAAAAGTATATCTTAAGTAATTGATGAAACTATGAAACTGACGAGGTTTATAATTGTTACTGGTTGTTTTTGTCCCCACACAAGTAAAAATACAGAATTCATACAAACAAAACAAAATGTCTCAGTGTGTGTGTGACTAGGGCGTTAGAATTTTTAAAAATTAAACTTTAAAAATTTCATAAGCTATAAATTAACTAGAGGTAACGTACCTTAGAAAAGGGATTGGCAATCTGCGGCCCTTGCCACATATGGCCCACTGAAACGTGAACTGGGACCTGTCAAACCTTCAACTTCAAGGAACTGAATAAATGTTTTTGTAAACCGTATAAATTTAAAATGATTACCGGGTATCTGTAAAGACAATCTGAAAATTAAAAATCAGTGTAAAATTGTCTCAATTCCACTTTTTATTTTCGAACTGAACGTAGAGTGAATTTTTAAAGTCCATCTTTAATGACAGTGTTAAAATAGATTCTTAATAAACTTAATTCTCTGCAACACCTGGATGAACAAGGAAGTCCAGTGGTTTCATAAGCATGGAATATAATTGCTAAAAATAAAACAAGGCTTTTTAAGCTCTATTCCTCAGTACAAAGCAGCAATATCACTATGTGCTGGAATAATGGCAGTCCCCTTGGCTCGACAGATGCAAAACTTTTTAAATTTTAAGTTTGAAAAGTTTTTTGACTAGTTTAAAATCACAAAAACAAATAGTTTTCAATATTAAGAAAAAGATTTGCAATAAAAATCAATGCGCCAAATAAAAAAATACATTATTGTAAGTTTCCAAATATAATACACTGTCATGAAAATGTTTTTTTATTTGGCTTATCTGACAGAAAACTGGAGAAATGTTCTCCAGCATCAACATCACTAAATCCAAACACAGGTCTCAGTCTCAGCTCACTGATAATTTGGATTGTTTAAAACGCATTTTAGTTTTAGCTGTGTATTTCAATTCTGGAAAATGGGAAACTATTTGCAGCTACAAAAATCTACTTAAATACTGGGTATCTCTCTACCTCCACTATAAGTAACTAGTTAGATGTTACTAATAGAGATAATTTCATTATATTTATTTAAAATATATTCAAAATATGTTAGTTTAATGTATTGTCTATATATAATTATACACTAGTTATAGCACGCCAAACATTGGTGGCAGCAATGCATGAATCCAATCATACACTAAAGTTACTTGACAAAACATGAACTCAAGTAACGCACATTTAAGAATCCTGATATTTGCTACACCCCTTCCCCCATGATACGTCACTGCACATTTTTTATTTCACGCCAATAAACTATATTAATATTCTCATGTCCCAACAACTTTTAAACGGAATATTTTTTACACAATACTTTGAGACGATTTCATTTCTGAAAAGAAAATATTACGCACCAAACTTAATTGCGTTATTAAATATATATATATATATATCATATATAGCGTAGTTATTGGGACGTATATTTTGCGCTCTAGTGAACTCATTATTGAACCACACTCTGGTGTATCTATAAAGAGCCTAGTGGTGTTTGAACCGTGTTGGTGTTTGATTTTGCTGGCGAATTATACATATAAATGCCTAGGAAAAATATATCATTCATTTAACGACAAAAAAAATCCATGCAGCTCTCAGCACAAAAAGGTAGCCCACCCGTCTTACATGTAGATATTTTCCTTACACTTGTATACTTGTATAAAATGCTGCTTCTTTGGGTTAGTTGAAGTTGATTTGCGTCCATGGCAAACAACTCTAGTCAGGGGAATGACACAATTGGCACGAGATAACAAATATCAGCATGCCATGTCATCCACCACCAACCGGGTTGTTTTCCTAAAGACATTTCTTTCTATTGCAAGATGGTACAGGAATGGAACTTCTTCATTACAGGTATTGCAAATCAAGCACAATACCGATACCTAAAGAAATAAATTTAATATTCAAAAAGTGTTAATTTAAATACAATTTGAAATAACATTTTCGAATTTTGCTATTAAAAATATTAAATAAAGCACCAGGTGTACACAACTAATCAAAGTTGCTATCAAAGTTTACAATTTATCATTACAAGAATCATTGGAAAAGGATCAATCAATTCTCGCCAAAACTTTTCCCAAAAGCTCTTTATTAGAACTCTAGGATTTTATAATCATTAATAGCTTAGTCTCTTTACATTTTATCTAAATTATAGAATTGTCCACTCAAACCTTAGTGAAAGCTGCAATGATCCATGCAAGTATTTTTGACGAGGTATTTTATAATACATACCTGTAAAACTTGGCTCTCTTTTGAAGATTTTTTGCACAATGCTATAACCTCTTGGCTGGATGAAATGTGTATGACCAAGTGTTAGTTAACTCTTCCTCACTTTAACCAAAAGTCTCCCGCGCAAGTCATCAGTCACCGGACGACTCGAAAGTCCTAGTTGATTTTCGACGGACTAACAACAACAAACTTCAGATGAGTTTATGAAGTTTTACCTGCATATTTAATTTGCAAAAAATTTAATATGTTTACTTATAATGCCAAAATTCTCTTTAATTTGCTACTTTTAATTACCAATGAAACATATTTTTTAATGAATAAATAAATTCTATTTACCCATGCAGCTCATCTTTGAAACTTAGTATTAAAACCAAGTGACAAGTTTAAGGTCGGGCAATGAGGGGCAGAGACGTTCAGCTGATTTAGGATATGTAATTTAACAGAATAAGACATGGCAATTTATTGTTTTCTGTAAAAAAATTCAGATAATTTATGTCACTTATGTTTGTTCCTCATATACGGTACACTAAAGCGTGTAACATGCCCAACATAATTTTAAAACCTTTTACTTGTAATAGCAGAGCACTGCAGAGCAGCTTTTAAAATCCAATTCTGAAAATAGTTTGTAATAGTGGTGACTGCCATATTTCAAAATGAGCACTGGTGAGTTTTGCAGGCTTTTAGTTTAACATACTAACATAACTAAGCTAGGTATAGCTCACCATACATTAAAAGACCAACAGATATATGTGATAAATGAGTTGTATTTTTAAATTGCTAATGTAAAAGTTGATATACCATTGATATTTAGCTTTATTTTTAGTGAATTTTATTTATTTCAGTGTAGCACACAATAATTTTAATTCCAATTTCTATTCAGCTTTGTAGCAAATGTGAACTTAAATATTTTTTAGCACTAAGAAAAATCAAGAACACAATAACACATTTATACATGAATTGTTTCCCTTGCACAGGACTACAATCTGCTGTTCATCAACTTCAAAACTTGATTCATTTCTTTTGAAGAGACAATTAAGCTGAAAGTTTTATTTATTTGATCTAGCTACATCAAAGGCAGTTTGAAACTGTCCTAACATAAAGACTTCATTTTGCTACCATTTCAGATGGCTGCTGGGATTTAACTACTTAAGTGCATTATGTACATGGATGGATACTGCTTGCTTAGAACTTGCTATATATTTAATATAGTCTCTGGTCTTGAATTCATGAATCCAAAACACCACTTTGATTGAAATATATTAAGGAAGGAGCAATACCCTAGTGTATCTAGTTCAAAATGAATTATGGTTACTTTTGTATATTTGTAGTTCATATATATATTTCAGAAATGAATAGTTTTTAGAACACATAACTATAATACTGGTAAATAGATTTTCAGTGATATCAATTAAAATTATAAAAATCATAATAAATTAAATTACTCAATCTAATCACCACTTTCTTTTTTTTTTTACTTTAGGAAAATATTTGATGTTAAATAAGTAAATCTGGGAGTGGGAGGGCTTGGGGAGAAATGAGAATGAGATTTTATCTTTTAACAATATTCTTGTACAATGTTTTTTAGAAGATAACTTAGTGATCAAGTGGTTGTTCATTAAAAATCAATATATTACCTTGGTAAGAGGTCTCTTAAAAATTATTAGAACACATTTTCTACTTATCTCATTATTTTTTTTTTAAAAATAAATGGCTCTTTGGTCATTGATACTGTCCCAAACAGATGTGTATTTTTTTAAAATAGATTAGTAGGTAGTGATTATGGCTTTTTATTAGACCATTGGTACTAGCAGCTATCTTTACATTTATCCAGAAGCAGATGTTTATTATTGCTACCGATGTTTATTATTACTACCGGTATTAGCATTTCATTTATAATGTAAAGGCCATTTTAATTTTAACACCAATTAAAGTATTTTTTGTAAAGTCAGGTTAGAAACTTTAATAAAGAATGACCTGATAAGGAGCACAACCCCCTAGTTGTTTCTACAATGACTACAAATATAGTTCCTCCTTAACAAAAGCTATTTGTGGATATTAATATTAAAAATTATTACAAGGATAAAATCCCTTAAAATAAAAAGTTAAGCTCTCAATTTTGTCAGTATCTTATGTTTGAGAGTACAGGTACCTAATCTAATTCTAGTAACTTGTCACTCAATCTGTCACTAGATAATATGAAAATGAAATAAGTGAGTTTAAAGTTAAATTGACCATTACAAATCTATATTAAAGGTTAATATAAAAACACATTCATGAGATCTTACACCCTACCACAAAGCTGTATAAGCATATAATAACTGCAAACACACTTTCTTTGTTTTTTTTAAAATTACATTAAAGTTTCGTATTATAAGTATATAATATAGTAGTAAAAAAAAATTAAGAAAGGACTCAATCCACTCTCTAGAAAGTGTGTCTGTCTTTTGATGTAAAAATTTTAACTGGGTCTTTGAGCTAGCGACAGGCGTATTCCATTCCACACCTAATTTATTGGTTAACTTTTATTGGTGAAGTATAAATTGTAATTATGGTTTATAGAAATAGAATGGAAGAAAAGTTAGGAAATTTTTTTAATAAATTCATGTTCTTTAAATTTAAATGACAATTTTTTAATAAATACTTTGGATAACACTCCATTGCTCAATGAAAGGGTAATGTGTCAGCCCAAGTCTGATGATCAGACTCCCAAGTCTGATGATCAGACCAATTCTTTTGTAAGAGTAGAAAGAGCAAAATATTTTTTTTAAAAACAAAGTGTCAATAAATGACAGAAAAAAAATCTTACCTCAATGCAGCAACGCATTCAACTCCTTGCATAAGACTTGACAGTGACATGTTGCTATAACTTACCTGGATCTGGCAGAGTAACTTAATCTAACATCAAGTTCATTAAGATAATTTTTAATTCCGCTCATGTGTTGGAAAATACAAGGACTTAATTCAGTGCAGATTTTAAATTTTGTTAACTGGTATGAGCAGTATTTAATTCAGTGCAGGTTTTAATTTTTGTAAACTGGTACTGGTATGAGTATAATGTTCAGCTGACTTTACAAGTCTCATTCCTAATTTGCACACACCATGCACTTTTACTCATGTTAAATAATGGTGGTATGGTCCAGTCTTAAAATTACACCATTTTCTCTTTTGAATTCACTGCTATTTTTATTTTGAAAAATATATATACCAGTATAAAGATATAGTACTGACATTGACAGGATTATTAAATCATAAAAATAAGTGTAACTGTGCTATGAGTCTATGAGCAGCTTTATCCATTACCTTACACTTGCATGGTTTTCAAAAATGAAATTTATGGACTTGCAGCATTGCAAATGGTAAATGTAGTTTTATTTAGGCCCTTTAACTTTGTTCAAACCATAGTGTTATTGATACCAGTATGACTTAAAATTATCACCAAAAAAAATGAAACATTTAAATACAAACTGCATCACATTTATTTAAGAAAAAATCTTTAATAAAATAAGTACTTGACATGAATCTGGATAAGATGAACTGGTCTGCCAAAATCAGTGGTGTTCAAAATGGAATGTCCTTGTGCCATTGAATGATTCATTAATGCTACTTTCCTAATTAGTATATTAGTTTACATTTTTTTTAAAGGCAGTTAAGCCAAGGTACCATACCAGCAGATTAAATTCCTAAATGATAATAAATGGCAAAATTATACCACAAAATCAAACATAGCAAATTTTAATTAATTACTTTAAAATTAAAAACTAATAAAATTTGCCTTTGAAAGTTTTAGGTGGTGTTTTGAGATATTTTAAACAGGAAATGTTAATGGAAAAAAACGTAATAAACTCAGGATAGAAAAGTTTCATGTTATCCAGATTTAAAGTACAATTTAAAAACTCCAAGAGTTGACACTACCATAAAGACAAAACATTATGTAACCCACCTGTACACATAATGAGAGGAACAGGGCCTTTTATTTAAATATCTGCATCGATGATGGTAGATTCTGAAGGGGGTTCAAAGAGTTTGCAATCATTGTTGAAGCTGTTGTTTTCAAGTTCTTACAGATCAGGTGATAGAAAAAGCACGATTTCAAAGCAGGAAAAGTTCTCATTTAGGCACATCTCACAGGAAATTCAAAACTTGAATGGCATACCGCTCATGAATGAACACAAATGTCATGTTAACTCAATTCCTTGTAAAGTGAAATCAACATTACATCCATTTAGATGATAAATACGCTAAGTTTTTCTGCTCTCACAATTCTTGCAACACGTTTGCTGAGACCTAAAACTGCATACCCAACACATTCATCTTGTAAAACGAACTATTTGATGAGCACAATACACATTGAAGAATGGATCTTGTTCATGTTCCGCTACTGAAGGTTCTCAAAAGAATTACATAATACATTAGAGTCAACATGTTTTAAACTAAACTTTTGTTAGTAAAAGAATAAAACTGCAATTCAGACAAGCTCATTCTCAATATATTTTCCTACTGCCCTTTTGAACTTAAAATTATTCAAACTGTATAAAGTGTTAATGCTGCCAATTTATTACTAATGAATGACAAGTGATTACAATACCAGGAAGGTGAAGGTGCAAACAATATTTCAGAATTCTTCATATTTGCCACATTATTGTTAACATTTTTCTTGTAATCTGCCATTTTGATACATGAAAAAACAGATCATTCATCTGCCATCAATAGAAACAGTCATTCATCCCATTGGATTTACCATAATAAGATTTCATTAAGTATGAAACATATAATAATCTTCGAGTGTGACAGTAGAAATCAAGTTTGTGCTACATACATTTTGCTTTAATACAGAGCGTATTTTCAACTATATACACTTGGTTGCACTATCTCTCACTTATTGCATTTACGATTTTTATGCACAATATACATCTTCAAATAAAAATTAAGTTCTTAAATTGTTTCTTAAATATCCTATATGTAAACTGGTATATACTGCTATCACTTTTATTTGGAGACAACCCCCCCCCCTCACTAATTAAAGATTTAAGTCCACACTAAAAATTCACTGGAGGTATAGGTATTTTTAATAGGACTATTACATAGATTAAGTAAACAGCTGCACACAAAATAAAACCAAACACCATTTCAAGAGGTATGGTATTTAGCTGGTGATTGTCTCTCCATAAAGTGGTGGTCATTCACACACACAAAAGGGCTATCCAAAACAAAATTAAAAATAATTTACACAAAAAGTATACAAACAAATGACTTGTTTTATTGAAATCACAGTACAGTCTTTATTATAACAATATTTTAAGATCATCTATTAATTTTAAGACCACAAGAAACTTGGGTTCAAATCAATATTTCATCTGAAGTTAATTCATAACATGCTAGAACTTGGAATAAATACCAGGCTTTAAGTAGTAGACTGTAATGTATAGCCTTAAACACCCTTAACCAACTGACTTGTGCATGTCAATAGTGATATTCAAATTAAACTATTTTTAAAATTAGCTCCCCCTAGTATTACGAAAATTGAACTTTTTAAAAATAAAGAAAAATTTGGCAAGGAATTGTAACTATACAATAATGACCTTGTTTAATTTGATTGAATAATGCAAATTTACAGTCAATTAGTGTGATGACAGAAACATTAGAATATACAATAAATGTTTAAAAACAATATCAGCAAAAAGAATATCACCCTTTTAAATAGTTTTTTGGAAGGAGCAAATATTTGCTTCAACATTATTTCATGACACCCCTTATTAATAATCATACGCTGACAACATGAACAGTCGCTGACAACATGAACAGTCGATCAGCTTCTTTAACTTACTATAAACAAAGCCCAAGTAAATTGCAGCTCCTTTGCAACAATTTTTTTATTATTAAAACAGTATATGAGAATCCAGTCCACCAAAATTTAAGAATATATACATGACATATACTGCAGAAGGCACAAACCTTTTAATACTTCTATTCCACTTTCTAGTTAACTGCTAGGTAAGAGCTACCACTTAAGTCTAGAATCAAATGAACCTGATCCACTATAATCTCTGTCATGGGGATCCTGAGTCACTGTATTACTACTAGTATTCCTAGCACTATCTCTAAAAGGAGGATAATACTGAGAGCTATGTCCTTGCCTAGCCGATGAATCTTCTTTATATAAAGTATTCAAACCAGTATGCTGCTCTTCAGCAAAACTTGCGCTAAGTGAATCTCGCCCAGGATAGCTGTTATATGGAGCTTCGGTAGATTTATTGTAAGATGCCTGAGAAGCATAAGGTGCACTAGGTGAGTATGTTGATGCAGAAGATGTCACTCCATCAAATTGATTTCCCCCAATCTTAACTCCAATACCTTGCTGTGCAAGTAATTGGGCTAATGCAGCTTTCACTCCAGCATTTTTATCTTTATTTGATTCTGAAACAGTTGAATATTCTGCACTTTGTTGTCTGCTTACAGTGCTTTCAAAATATGTGTGTGTACTACTGCTGTTTTTGCTGCTTCCTTGTGATGAATCTGTAGTGCCAGGGAAGAATTGTGTTGTTCCAGAAAAAGATGAACTGTTCGTTGGCAAACTCTGCAAAACTGTATTTTCACTACCAGAGAGAACACTTTGCATTGTGGAAAGTGAATTTGGTAATACAGAATTGGGATCAAATTTGTCAGATCCTGGGTTCTTCTGTACAGCAGACAATGCCTGAATCAACTGATGTCTTAAATTATTCAAAAGCATTGATGTTTGAGAATTTACAGTAATATTCAACTTTTTAGCTATCTGGGGGACACTGAGATTTTGCTGTCCTTGGAGCAATGTTATTAAATTTGCTAATTGAATTTGTGCATCTTTGTTATCAACATGTCCAGATGAATCAACCGGTTTAGCATCCTCCTTCTGTTCAAGTCCAACAGCAGATTTTAATGGGAATGACTTTGATTCAGAGGAATCTGCAAATGGCCGATTAGTTGGCATTCGTGGGACAGATTGATTTTTTAGTCCAAAATCTGTTTCTTTACCTAGCAACTCTCTCATTTCTTTCTTTCGATTTTTGCACCAAAGTTCATGACAGTCTTGATCTTTAGGTAAACTGAAAAACAATTCCAATGTCTAATTACACTAGGTTTTGTATTACAATTTGAATGATTATGGGACTTTTGAAATCAAAATTACATAAAATTATCTTAAATATTTGCATTATTTATTAAAGAGGAAATTTATGTATGTACCGTATGTCTTTATAGATAATTGATACGGTTTAACAAAATGCATAAGCTGATTTATTTAGCAATGAATGTTATTTAAATATGACAAGCTATGGAAGGTATTTTCTAAAATATTTTTTTAAATTAAGACAATATCTCACTTTGTTATCACATATATTGGTTTATGTCAAGTAATGGTCAACACATATATACCTGATGGTCCCCTTTAAATGAACTAAAGGGATGCCAGTAATAGGAAATTTAGGTGCAAGCCAGCTATGTGCATGAGTAAATATTTTGTCTAAAATGCAGCAGATACACTAAAGTGGCCAAGAAATATAGTACGACATCTTTATCCAAAAATAAAAAAACCTTACTATTGAAATAAATGTATTGCTCAAAACAGCCACAAATGTATTGACTTAATTGCACAGCTAGCGATGCTTATTTCCCAAGTTAACAAAAACAAAAGCTATTCATATTTTGGGATTCACAAGAATGAATTTTAAACTAAATGTAGCTATCTCAACATACCGAATGATGGCACTATAATATGAAATTTTTTTTTTAAACTTACTCTGGTGGTGGAATGCTGTTAGGATCAATATCTCTTAACCATGGACTGCTCAGACCTTGATCTGCGGTACATCTGCGACTAGGGTCAAGCTCCAACATGTGATCCATAAGGTCAAGTGCCAACTTTGGAAGACTGAAATTGACACAACAATGACATGGCTTCCCATTTCCCTTTTAGAGGGAAAGCCACAATATTTTATACATCCAGTAAAATAATAAATAGGAATTTTCACTATATAAATTAGTATAACATAAATGCATTATATTTTATCCTGAACACTATGATATTATTACATGTTTAAAGGCACAGATTTAACTTATGTGAAAAAGGTATGAGATAAAAACAAAAATTAAATTACTCACAAAGAAAATTCTTCTCTTAGCCTTCTCCTGTGCTGTCTTTTAGGTTTAAAACTGTGAAACAAAGGTAGCTTGATGACCTCTGGCCAGTTAGCAGGACATGGCGATCCACAAGTGCGGCTTATCAGTTCTAATTGAGCAAATTCTTCCTTTGCTTGAAATATTGGCTTTTTTGTGAAAAGTTCACCTAGGATACACCTTAAATTGAAAAATAAACCATTCTGATTAAAAAGTCTAGAAATTACTTGTAAAAATACTAAATTTAAATAAATCTAAAATGAATTACACAAAAACTAACAAAATGTTCCATTTGGTATTGAAATATCAATCCCTTTATCTAAAAAATTGTAATTTTTAGAAAAAATAAAAACAAATGAAATGTAAAATGATTTAAAGTACATACCCCAAGCTCCACATATCAATGGCTGGACCATATCTTTCCTCCCCTAAAAGCAACTCTGGAGGCCTGTACCATAATGTTATTACTTTGTTGGTATAGAGACGATCTTTGTCATCTGCGTGGTAATATCTTGCCAATCCAAGATCTCCTAGTTTGATCTGACCTCTGATGATACAGTAACATAAGATTATTCTCTAAAGTCATGGCATGATTTTAACGAATCAGCAATAAAATAATTGGTTTTCATACATTATATACATACCGATTATTGAGTAAAATGTTAGAACACTTTATATCCCTGTGTAAAAAATTCTTCCTGTGACAATACTGAAGCCCTTCAAGAAGTTGTTTCATAAATGATGCAATATGTTCTTCTCGGAGAGTTACTAAACCAGAATCTAGTAAACCCATCAAATCATGATCCATATATTCAAACACTAAGTAGAAGGATCCTGTATGGAAAAAAATAAAAATAACTAGTAATACAAACAAAATAATATGTTAAAATTGCAACAACCAAGAAAAGCTATGTAGAATTAAGGGAAAATTAATATAATTGCAAACAAGCATACCTTTATCTTTTTTGAAGTCAAGGGCATCTTGTTTATCTGTAACAATTTCTTTTAGGTTAACAATATTAGGGTGTTGCAACTGTCTCAAAATTTTTATCTCTCGAACAGCAGTAATTGGGAATCCTTCTTTTTCATTTTCCAAGCGTACCTTCTTTAATGCAACCAAAATACCTGTGGATAAAACTGAATCTTGTGATGTCCAATTTAACAATTGAGAATGCCCTAATATGAAGACAGTTATACATTATAATTGTTCGTTTCATAATAATTTAAGCACAATCTATTTTTTGTTAAAAGCAAATAGTTAACTATTTCTAAACATTAAAATAAAAAACTCAGATATGTATGTTGTGATTCAACTAATTTGAGCTATTATTTTATTATTAAATTTATTTTATTCTTAAATAATACACAATTCATGCTGGTCTCAATAAAAACTTTCTCTCCCCTTAGGTACTAAGCTCATGAGGTGTGTCAAGTAATTATTTAACGCCTATACACTCATGTCATGTATGTAATGGGTATCACAAATGCAGATAGGTATTTCATAAGAGATGTGTAAATTGGATAGTTAATTTTTTGGTATTAAATATAAATATTAAATAAAAGCACAGTCAAATTATAACTGCATAGTATTAATCAAGCAAATGTGAATGCAAAGCTATGTGAAAAAAAAACTATTCTATTAAAAACTGTTTCTTTTCTTCATAAATTATATTAGGTACTTTCATTACAGCACTGCAAAGACTAAAAGTGATATATAATTAAAATTATGCTTTACAACCTTATGAATTAATAAAATGAGCATCTTAATGTGAGAGAAAACTATCACAAAAAAACAAAAACAAAAAAAAAAAAAGTTTTGTAATATATTATATTAAATATAGATCCCATTCATTGTCAGAAAATTCTTCAATATGATTTTTTTTTTATAATTCATGTCAGAAATTTATGTACACCTACTGGTAAAATCCTCTGCCCTAATCATCACATTCACAGCTTTCCATTTTATCGACTATTTTATTGCCCAGATCAGGAGTGGCCTACCCAAAAAGACTGGCCACTTGGATAGCAAGTAAACCGTTTGCAGGCCACAAGTCATTACAACTAACATTAAAATAGGCTACCACTACACTAAATGATGTATTGAATTTTAATCTAAACATGCACAAAATGAAATTCAAATATCAAAACTAATAGCATTAATCTGATATTCTATCTTTTCTGTCACTAATCTTTTAAAATCAATGTCACTAATCTTTTTAAAATCAATGTTTTGGTCAACTGAATGAAGAACAAATGAATTTGTGATAATCCGGCCTTTTGTATTTTATTCTTAAAATTGTCACACCCTAAATTTAACTGTAAAAATATTGTTTCATTACTAGATTTAGTAGTTATTGATTGATTAGTGAAAATGCAAGAAGTCAATTACTTCTAGAGAATTACTAACCAAGACTAATGTCTCTTGCTTTGTACACTTGTCCATAGGTACCTTCACCAATAATCTGAATAATGTCAAACACATCAACACATCTTTCACCCCAATCTCCTTGCCTGTCATTATAGCGTCGATGATGACACATTCTGTGAATAGAGAAACATTAAATTGATTTAAAAATTACCTTGGGAAAAAAAATATTTTAATATCTTAAGAAATTCAAAAATTTAAAAGCAATTACTGGCATACTACATTATTTGGCTTTCTTGTTCAAACTGTTTGTGCTAGGCTGATATCGAGCCTTAACTTTTTTTGCTGTGACACAACGCACAGTACGTTCACCCGCTGTGCTAAAAAGCACAGACCAACGCACTGTGAGTTGTTTCAATATCATGGTTGTTTCTTTGCTATTTTGCGGTTAAACTTTTTAAGAGCTATTTTTTAATGAGACCTTCACATAGAAGAGTGGGACTTCATTTTTTATGAGCAAAACCAGATTTGTTTGTTGTCATTTAAAGCCTTTTTTTAATTAATACTCTTTGCTGTTTTTTTTTTCCTTTATCAATTCTGTTGCTATGGCTACCAAAGGAAATGTTTTATACTATTTCTATTGATAGTGAAGATGATTTAGATCGATCACATGATTCCGATAGTAGTTTTTGAGGATTGCGTTATAATAGTAAAGATGATGTATGCCTACAACAAGGGGTTGGTGGGACAAATGGTTTTGCATTTCACATTTTCATTTTTTTTTTAAATGTTACTTATTTTTGTTAAACTGAAGAAATAAGTTAAAAAATATATAGATCATTCAATTATCTTTCATTTGATAACAAATTAAGCATTATAAACCAAACAATAATATTTTCAATTTTTTTTTTAATATTCTCTTTTCCCCTCTTTGAAAAAATGTAAATTCTTTCATTCAAAAAACTCAGCATTAAAAGAGTTAAACTTCAACCTTGATTATGTATAAATAATGACCTTAATAGTTAAATATCTATTTAAGCAAACTTTTGTAAGAAATGTGTTGATGTGAAATTCTCAGTTATAATTTGTAGGTAAGAATTACTTACTTGGGTCGTTTTAACTTTGGACCTTCTTCTTTTTTCAAAGGTAGCTTTCGGGAATGGTCATCTGCTTCAGTTTCAGGTTCATCAACTATGGGAGGCAGAGGGAGATCACGAATACCTCGGGGACGGGTGCACTCTTTGTCTCTCTCTTCAGCTTTGATTTCACTATTTCAAAAAATTTAACATATAGCAGTAACAAATATTTGAAATAGATTATCACACAACACTCTTAGTACAAAAACACCTATGATCAATTCTCACCTGTAGGGACTTTGCTCCAAGTCCATATCCTCATCTGGATCAACATCTGGTAGAGGTAGCTGAGGCAGAGTTGACATCTGATTACTTTTGAGTTTGTTATCAGTTTCAAGCACATGTCCTGCCCTTTGTCTATGGTCATAGCTGTTTCTATCTACAGTTGATAACTGTGCCCTATTATCAATTTGAACAAATAAAGTTTCGTGGCTCTGCCCATGAACCTTGTCAGCTTTCAGAGATTGTTGAGGAACAAGTGGGGTAGGGCTGTTTTTAAATGGTGAAATAGTCTTAGGCTGGATATATAAAGGTGCTTTGGCACTTACTGGAGTAGGTGATCGACTTATTACTTCCAAGTCTGGAGAATTTGTTTTACTGTCTAATGAACTCACATCTTGACCAGTTCTTCTTTTTTTATTCTCCCTAGCTCTGCGATGCTTACTCAGTTCCGCAGCTAAACTTGTTGCATACTGAAGTGTTTTAGTGTTACTGACTTTAGTTCTTGAAGTAGAAAAGGCTGACGTCCGAGATGGACTGGGTGACTGACGACCATAAATGCGACCAGAAGATGGTGACGCATTATTTTTTTTTGAATATTTACTTGGGCTTCCAGCAGTTCTTGATGAATATTTGTGTTTCCTATCAGAATTTAAAAGAGAATAAAAAAAAGGTACAATATTATTAGCCCAGGCCATGGTTATAAAATTAAATAGTTAAAATATCTCATAAAATGACTAACATGAGAGTTATAGAAATAAATGCATGTTTAACTCATCCTAGACAACTGCGACTAAATGTGTTTTCACGAGTTCCAGCACCTCTTACATTTTTATTTTAAAACAGCAATGAAATCCTCAAGACTTCTGGTGATGGCATGATTCTGTGCATTTTTAATTTAAAAAACTGAATTTTTTAATATCTTGTTTCACTTTATGTCTGTGCTAGTACAGTGCGTCTATATCGAGTTTTTTTTTTTGGTGCTGTTATTATTTTTTTTATTAAACATTCATTTCTAAATGCATTTATTTTTAACTCAATATTAATTTATATTAAGCAGCTTAAAAAATATTTTATAATGTAAATCAGAGAGCGAATCAGAGTAACTTCCCTTTCTCAGGAATATAAATTAAATACGGAAGTGGCACGGCCGCCGGGATTGAGTTATAAATATTAAAGTTGCGAATGATGTTACTTTGTCATTTTTTTGCGTTTCTCTATTTCTGCTCTAACAATGCCATAAAACAGATTTGGTATGTCTCTCTCTCTCTTTTAAACATTGAATCACAATGTTATTTTTTTAAAGTAGCTTCAGAAGTAGCTACAGAAGAGTTGACTACTTTGAAACAGCATTATACCATTCAACTGCAATTTTCACAGCTTACCCAACAAGACAAAAAAATTGCTGAGCACCAAGACCTTACAAAATTACTTTTGAAAACTGCCTTCTCAAAACATATGCAATCAAACTAACCTTACAGTGGATAACAGGACATCATTATACATAGAAATGAGAGATCAGATATACTTGGGAACATGCATAAACAGCCAAATAATTTGGCAAACAGAATTTCCGAAAAGATGAGTAAATATATGGATGGGCTATGGGCTCAAAGGAATGCGTTTTACACACACGCATGGCCTAGATCCCATAAATAGCATCAAAAGACAGGAACAATAAAATTAGAACAACTATGCCGCCTATGTTCCCCCCCCTTGCAAACATACAAATGAGATATAATATTACCACTTTTCAGCTCTCCCAAGACTTACACCTTAATTTAATAACTACCAAAAAAGGATGAGCAGGATGATAAGAAACCTTAAAAATGCAGAAATCTGCAAAAATAAATGAGACCTTCATTCATCAACACTAAAGTGCTGAGAACTTTATTAAAGTGATAAAAACTTCATATAATAAATAAATAAAGTATGCCTGTCTTCAAAGTTAATATTTCTGTGGTTAATAAGCTTACATGAAACTCAAAACTTTAAGAGAAAAAAAAATTATTTTTTTTAAATGTAAATAGGCCTACTTGTACAAGTTAAGTGACCTAATCCCACTCACCACATCACCCCAAAAACCACCAATACATAAAATTTGTTAATCATAGTTTTTAACTGAATCAACATAGGCTATATAAATACAGGCTTCTTTACTTAATGGACTCCATCATTAATGCAATTTTGGTTTCAGACTTTAATAATTTAGGTTGGTCAAAAAATAAGTTGATCTGACCCATCAATATCAACTGATGTGCAAAGGTAAAGACTACTGAAATCTGACATTTTCTTAGCTTCTTACAATCTAAAATACCAATGACTGCATGATTTTTAACCACTACTTAATAGCCATTTCTGGTTAACTGGATTGATAGGTGTCAAAATGTGTTTATCTGGGTGTAACTGTTTTAGTTTAGCCAAGCCTAAGACCGTACATAATATATATATATATTAAAACTTATGACTTTTTAATTGAAAAGGGACTTCAATTTTCTTTGAAAGACAATTGAGTCTATGTGTGAAATTCCTACTATAACGTTGACAGTTTCAGGGGTGAATCATAATTTTTTTAATTTTAAGGTGTAGAAGAATCAGCTTCCCAGTGTGTCCCAATTGCACTGTAGATTTACAGCTGCAGCTGGTTAGATTATGAATTGAAAACCCAATAACTACTGCTGCTTTATCCTATCCATTATCCATGCAAGTGTCTTCTGTAATAAAATACTGAAAATAACTTGGCTAGTTTCAGTAATTAAAACAAGTTTATTGACCCTAACATGGATGATTTAACAGCTGATTCAGCAAATTTGCCTACATATTCAGTCTCATCATGGTTCATTTTTTATAGACCATTTTAAATTGAAAAGCTTTAAAATTTTCAATTTTTGTAAATTTTGTCATATTTTCATCTTAACAATGTTAATTTAAAAATCTGTATAAAAAAACTAATACAGAGTACAGAGATGATGTTTAAGCTTATTTATTATTTATACTTACAACTAGTCATGTAATCATTTCTGATAGGGACAATGGATGTATTTGTCATAATCAGTGCCAACTTGTATTGGCAGTTGTCATTCCCTTGGATTCACTGGCTGTGTAGAGAGTGGGGATCTGTGGGGACAACAGATGGTCTCCATGGCCCAGGCAAGTAGCTGCACTGGTGGTGACACTTCACCAGCAGCAGAATTTTTTGTAAAGCAAGGAAAGTAAATAGAAGGAAGACTCAACAACTTCACAACATGGAATAGAAGAACAATGTGTCCTGGATTTGACAACAGATTGACGAAGCAAGAAAGACTAGATCAACGAATGGGAGATCATTGCTAAACAACGTTCTAGCTGGCGAACTGTAGTGTATAATAAAAGAGTCAAACCCTCGAATGCAGAAGATGCGAGAAAGGAAGCTCTTGCAACAAAAGAACAATACAGAAACCAAAATCTAACCAGGAGTCAAAGGCTCCTCCGAGAAATTCCATTCCAGGGAGCGGTATAGTGAGCCATTTGTTTTAGTGTACATAGCTACTTCACCGTCTTACGAAGATAGAAGGATGCCATATATATATGATATATATATCATTATTAATATTAGCCTCTGAAATATTGAATGAGATGTGACTCCCAATCAGTGAACTTAGACTTAGGCTTTAGGTAAACAGTTTCCAATTTTATTACCTACATTTGATCTGAATAAAATTAATAATTTTTTAATACTCACCTATTACTGGATGGGCTCCTGGAACTTCTCCTGTCCCTTTTGTCATACTTGTAGGGACTGGGACTCCGGTGTCTTTTATCTGATGTGTCTTTGTAATCTGTACTGTATGCTTTGGGTAGATCAGCATATGCCTTAGGAAAGTCCCTAAGTTCTGGAACAGGGTGTGGTCTTGATGTATTATTATTGTTGTACTTGACGTCTCTACCATGACTGTGAGTATTGTGTACGCCACTGTTATCAAAATCCGGAGACAGATGTCGGGAGCGTTTTAATTTCTTACTGCTTTTAGAACGATTTTGTTGTGAGTGAGATCGCGGACTGTCTCCTCGGTGTTGTGATTTACTACGGCTCCGTCCATCTCTGTATAGTCTTAAAGCAGTGGCTGGTGATTCCGCCCTTTTTCCAGAGCTATGGCCAAGACGTGCGTGATTGCTTGAGCGACCTGAAGAAGTTGGCAAGCCAGCCGTTTTAGAAGTTACATTGACAGCAGGTGGACTTGTCGATACTATATCAGAATCCGAACTGATGTCGTCATAGTCAACCAAAGACTTTTGAGGTTGCGATCTTTCATCTCGATCTTTTGATCTTTTTCTGTGACTTTTCTTTTTCTTTAAACGCTTTTTGGAACCGCCATAACTGCTGTGGGATTGAGTCTGTACAGGCCCTTGTCCTTGGGAAACAAGATGAGAGTAGGACCGTGCGTCGTATTCATCGTCATACAAATGCTTCCTTCGGTTCTTAGGCATGATTGTCTATAGATGAAAAGAAAAATTTGTTTATGACCAGATTTTAAAGGGTTAATTTAATTTTTTCAAGAAATCGCGTAATAATTATACCCTTTTTTAACATTCCTCCCTTAACCTTCCTTAGGTTTCCAATTATCTTCTTTACGTTATAAGATATATTTGAAATACTGGTGTGACTTCAATATTTTATCATTTTTGCATTTATTTGTCGTATGATCCGATTCGGATGGCGAATAATTTTGAGGATTTTACCCAATTTTTTAAAATAGTATTATGCCCCAACCAGTCGCGAATACGCCTAGCCCTTCGTCACCGACAATCGACCGATGCATTATGGTCTTTCCAATTTGGCCAGGTATTTGTCCCCATTTAAAATAATTCATTAAACCTAGCATTATCACCAAATATACAAATTGAAACGGCTGATTGATTTCTCCATTTAATAATATATTATTATTAAAATTTCGGTTCAAGTTTTAGATATTTATATGAAAATTCTTTATGAGTTAAAATAATTTTAATGCCTTACCAACTTTTATACATATATAATTATTGTTTGATCTTATATTCATTTCTTTCATATTTTTTTTTTAAATGCGCAGTTGCTGTTTACAAATGATTTCAATTTGTATTACAGTTCAAAGCCACCATAGATAAGAAATAAAAATATAAGGCTAATGCGTTGTTTTTGCTTGATTTTAAAATTGAGGTATCAACAAAATTAATCGTTAAGAGTCTTTGCAGCGTAACTTAATGACAAAAGCTTCTTTTGTATAATCCCAAGAGTGGCATTATTTTAATACAAAATAAAATATTTAATGTTTTTAAAATGAAGTATGAGCCGCATATGGATGATATTGGCTGCGTGTTTATCAGGTTTCATTTGTTTCCAGTGTTTGTGATGCCATGTATTTTGTCACTAGTTGTGTCTTGACTGCCCTGCTTCCTGTCAGAACTAGCTCGCTCATATATATGTGTGTATATATATATATATATATATATATATATATATATATAAAGAACATGCTCAAACATCATGTCTATAAATAGGAATATTTTTAAAAATTCAGTTTTTTTATATATTGTATTTTTTTTAAAATATTTTTTATTTTTAAGTGTATATAAATATATATATATATATATATATATATATATATAAAGAACATGGTCAAACATCATGTCTATAAATAGCAGCATTTTTAAAAATTCAGTTTTTTTTTAAATTGTATTTTTTTTAAATCATTTGTTATTTTTAAATTACATTTGTGTAAAGAAAATGCTTATAATCAATGTATAATTAACCTTCTAATTTTTTAACTTATTAGCATAACTCACTCAAGTCTTAATACATAATTGTCATCAATATTTATGTTCATTTTGTCTTTACATTTTCCGAGGCATGTTAAACTTTTGACTATGACTAATATGACTCACAAACTTGATTCTAAAATGGATAGTTACCTAAAAAAATAGTTATTACACTAACATATCAAAATTGCTTTGAATTATGGTTTATTCAAGATGCTGATTTGAGTAAAAATTGTCTTCAACTGCAACCATTCTCAAACTCTGAAGCTTTATTATAATTTAAGTAGTAAAATAATGTAGTCTTACATAAAACGTCCTGTAATAGAATTATTTATAAAAAATCTAACAACATTAACGATTGAACTGGTTTTTGAATTCATGGAAATTATGGGTAGAAATAATTATAAAAATGGTGTTTATTAAGTTATCTACGCGTTAGTAAAAAAAATTGAGAAGGTTATTGATACTCTATTATTACTGTTTCTCGGCTTTTCTTCACAAGTCAATCTGGCATGAGATTTAGTTGCCACGATTCCAGTGATATTAAAGTTGCTATTTTTTCAAGTTGCAAATTTGCATTATTATGTGGTATTATTATGTGGTCCTATTGCGAAGTAAAACTTTGTTTTAATAATTTTTTTATTCACCAAACCACATTAATCATTAAATAGATAAGCCTTTGTCCCTGGATGATACAGTGAAAGTCAAATATCAGACCAATATTAAAATGGTTTGTCCAAATGGTATATTTGCGTAAGGCTAGAACAGTGATTCTAAAACTAACAGACTTAAGGCTAAGGTTTCTTTTAATTTTAATTTTCATTAATGATACGAGTGGTACCGCTAATCTGATGACTTAATTAATTTTATGCCATGCAGTAGAAAATAGATATAGAAATTCTTGATTGTTGCAAATAATACATTGATAAACAGAACTTTTTGTAACAAAAAGCTGCTCACAATTGTCAATATTTTAGGGGTCATCCAGTAAAACATCACGCATCGGATGTGGGGGTGTGGGGAGGTCGCAATTTTATAATGCACTGTTATGAGGGTGTCTAACTTATGGGGAATATGTGTGACGATGTGGGAGGAGAGGGTCTACAATCGGCCAAAACAGCGTGACATAATTTAAATGAGCCTTTTTATTAAAATATATGTGTGTATATATATTTTATATTTTTGATCACGTCATTAAATTTTGTAGTTTGGCTTTGCTTCTCAGTATCAGATTCAGAAATATCGACGGCACGTATTTATTCTTGTATTCTGTCTGTTAATTTTTCTGGCCTTTTTAATAGCAGGACAGGTGCTGTAGAATAATTTTTATTGTTTTTTCTTTTTCCCCCATTTTTTTTTTTTTTTTTTTTTTTAAATAAGGAAATTAATTTACCGGTACTGTTTGCACGCAGTGGTGTAGCTAGGGTTAGGTCACCCGGGGCGAGCCAAGTTTCAAGTGCACGTGGACGAAACATAAAATTGTCAAAAGAAAGTGATACGCTACTCCATGCGGTGGAATAAAGGTAGCTCGAGTCTGTGACCCCTCTGAGTGGTTCTTTATTTTGCCGCCGCTCACTCATGATAACTACAAAACATAAACTATGACATCATGCATAAGCAATTATTAGTATATGCAAGAGACGGAAAATTACATCGCCCAAAATGTGCCTCCGTAGCAGACTTCTCCACATGCCACGTCTTACTACGCCCGTCCTTTCCGAACATACTTCTAGCTAAGCAACTGATTGATTCAACGTAAGGATGTTAAACGATAAATTTATTTTTGATTATCGGTTTTGAAACCAGTAACAGGTTGTTAATCAACCAGTAATCAAATTATTTTATCATTAACAAAAAACAAAAAAATCAAGATTAAAAAAAAAAGAATATTAATATTAATAAACCACTAGTAATTTTTTTTAAATAACTATTTTCAATACCGTAAATAAAATAACTTTAAAAAATAAATTTGATGTAGGATCCATAAAATTGGTAGGCTTCTTCGTTAAAGTTTCACGTATTTGACCATGCCATCGTTTATTCTGCGATATATATTAACAAGCTGGTTAAATGTTTTGGCAAGAGAGCAGAGCTAGCTTCTATTTCTTAACTTTACACATTTCATTAAAAAATGAGTTGCCCTTAGTTATAGCTGTATACTACAAATACGAATTAAACATTGTTAGTGATAATATAACGAATTATCTAAATCTCCAAGCTAAACAGCTAAACAATCGGCCGATTAAGGCCGACCGATCAATCGGTAGGCCTAATCGGTCTATTTGCTAATCGGCGCAATCCTAATCGACACTATGACAAGGTGACCTTCATCTGCAAGCAATGAGGTGGCTAGAAGTAGACCGTGGAGGCAAGAGAGTAAGAAGACGGGGTGGATGAAGAGGTCCGCCGGGGCAGCAGTTCCTTGGGGATGAAATGTTCGGTCCCATATATCATATACATAACAAAACGTGGTTTATGTGTGATGAGCATTGTTATGCAGACATGGGCGCCTGCAGAAAACTTTCTAGGGGGGGGGGCAAAAAAAATCGATTAACTTTCTAAGGGGGGGGGGGTATACATAACAAAACGTGGTTTATGTGTGATGAGCATTGTTATGCAGACATGGGCGCCTGCAGAAAACTTTCTAGGGGGGGGGGGCAAAAAAAATCGATTAACTTTCTAAGGGGGGGGGGGGTTTAGTAATGTTTTAATGTAGTTTTAATTTACTTTGGGGTATTTGTATGGTGAACGAACGGACAGGACATCAGCTTAGTTACTTTCTCTTTACTTTAATACATTTTTTGTCTATTTTTTTCTAACAAATTTTTATCCAATCAATCAGGGGGGGGGGAGTGCCCCCCCCTGCGGGCGCCCATGTATGCAAACGTCGTGGTTACGTCATCTTTCCCCGTGAATGAACTCTAGCTGACCCCAAACTCGGAACCGCATTTTAGGGTGTGGCTAAATAAAAATAGTCTCTTTGACCTTGTTTACAATGAAATAAAATCTACAGCCTGTATTATTAGACATCTGTAGAAAAATCTAGACAAATCAAGAAAGGAAAACAATGTGTTAGCCCTTTCTAGAACTGCTAGTAAAAAAAACATACTATAAAAAGGAAGAGAGAGATATTTTGGGGGAAGACTTTTACGATAGAGTTTTTTTTATATGAGACAGAGATTTGTTTACTAACATTTGATGTGTGTCGATTTCCTTTTCATCATTGTACCTTTTACAACATTGTATCTTCTTCAACATTGTACCGGTACAAGCCAATCATTATACTGTAAGCTTTAATTTTATTGTATTTTTGATTTTTTTAAATTCAATATTAACTTAATAAAATGTACTAATTGTAATTAGCCCTAGTTTGGGTATCGTTTTCTTTGTTATTGTATTTAAAATATGGTATCGTCTTTTGCTGTGTACTGTTTTAGGACGAGCCTTATACTTAAATAACTAAATAAGAGATTAATTTCTCCATACGGATAACAGTACGTAGCAAGCATTTCTATGTTTTGTGTTTATGTATGATGTGCATTCTCTATGTTTTGTGGTGTTCGTGGTTGAGAGGCAGTGTTATAGAGAGCTTGTTTACATAATATTTCTCGTGCGTGCCCTCTGATTGACCCCACATGAGACGCTGTGTTCACAAAGGGGTGTGGCTTAGGCCTTTGATGTATTCTTGTTTACGCCGCCAACTACTAAAAATAATTAATCTGTTCCAAGTAGTGTTTTGTAGAATGATTCTGATGGTTCTAGAAATGCCATGTAGCTTGTCGAAGGCAGGGCTTAGGCGTCGGTAGACCCACCTATATAAGGGATTGACAGGCACGGACGAGAGAGGGAGATTTCAGATAAATTTTCTTAACATTACGAGGCGTTTTTTATTCTTTGTGTATTTGTGTGCTCCTACTTATATGTGTTTATTTCGCATTATTTATTGGCACATTATTCTAACTGTGTTAACTGTGTACCGGTACAAGATCTACCATACTGTAAGTTGAAGATTGTAATTATATTTTCTTT